TTTTGTCATCTGCTACATTATCATTGATTCGTCAACGTAGGTAAAACCTAATTTTTGATTTGAAATTATTTTCTATCACAAACTGTGATTCATAAGTAAAATTATTAATCGTAAGGAAAAATATATTTTAAAGGCTATATTATGCATTTTTTGACATGGCAAATGTTATTTTTAAAAATGTTAATTTTAGTTTATACTAGTAAAACCATGGTAGGAGTTGACAAGTGACTCCATTGTATAATCTAAGAAGGTAGATCAAAATTTTACAATTCATTACACAGTATGAAGACAGAATCAAAACAGCTACCACGTACGAAAGGTGCGAGGTTTTGATTGAGCTTTGGGGTAGTCTGGTCTGGGTTTACCTCTGAAGATATCTGATCTGCTTTTAGCTTCTTCTACGAATATAACCCTTCCATCCAAAAACTGTATAAACACCAAATCAGAATTTGCTATTAACCAATATCTTGTTATCAATCACCAGTAAAACGATTTGAAGTATGAAGTTAAGTCTGTGATATTAAGCTGTATACCTTTCCGTGCATCCCTTCAATAGCTTTCATAGCCTCCTCCTCTGTGTCATACCGTAGGAAGGCAAAACCTTTTGGTCTATTAGCTACCTTATCCATCACCAAGTTCACTACACGAGGGGACGCATGCAAGAACATGAGTTACACACTTGTAGAATGTGGACAGAAGTAGAACAAAAGTGAGCTTTATGCTTACTGTGTACAAGCTTGCCAAACTGTTCAAATGTATCCCGTAAGGTATCTTCAGTTGTTCGGAATGAAAGCCCTGTGCAAAAACAACAAAATCAAGTCCATATTGTTTCGAGTTCAAGTCTCATGTGGTGAAAGCAGAGAGGTGAAAAGTGGATAAAACCATAAAAGAGCATTAACACTGTCTAAAGCTCTAATTCACAACGATTTAGCTATAATACTGAGTGATACCACAAGGTCCAATAACGAATGAAAGCAAACACAATTAACACAATAAAGATATCAATCTCCCCAGATCATCAGAAGTTCAAAACTTCACACCCATTTATTCTACTTCCACACCACCCAAAATCATTCCCTGTCTTTACAACAAATCTGACAATGTCTTAGGTACAAACACTGTAAACATATACTCATTGCCAATTGGTCTCCGATTTCAGACCTATTCCTGAAAGAAACCAAACAGAGACATTTCCTCAAGGAGTCAG